TGCAGCGAGTGTTTGGTGCCCTGGACGTAAAACAGTGCGTATTAGAGAAACGCAGCGGAAATACCGAAATACCGAAGATTGTAGATTGGAAGCGAAACGGAATGGAGACGCGTCGTCCGACAACACCCGCGATTTAAGGGCTCGACTCCGTTCAGAGTGCGCGTGTTCGAGACCGCGCGTACCAGCTACTCCCGTCTACCGTGTACACGTATTCCGAGAGAAACTCCAATAGATTATGCCAGTAATCGTCGTCGATGTACATTGTAAATATTACGAAACAGCGGAATCGCAGTGCTGGTGTCCGGCTTAGTTGAAATATCGGTCGATGGCCGAGCGGCGGAATTCGCTAGCGTATTTTACACGGGAAACGCGACCGGAAACAGCGACCGAATCGTACGAATCGAACACTCGCGTGGATCTCGTTGAGAGACTCGAGCAAGATGGCGGGGGACCGACTAAAAGAATTTAGAAAAATGGAGCGCCGGTTCCGTCGCTGTTCCGGTTCACCAGTTTCGCGAATCATTCGAAACGCATCCACGGTGACCCGTGTCACGGAGGAGCAAGAACCAGCACTGCCCTCGACCGATCGACGAGAATGAGAGAAACGCTTCTGTGCTCGATCGCGTTCAGGTGGCTACGAGTCGCTGCCATCCTCGTCCGTATCGTTCGTATCTTTTATCGGAAAATCGCACGCTCGAGCACGGCCATCGCGGCGAGAGACATCGGTCGGTCCATCCGAGACGCGTCGAGTGACCCGGAGAACGGAAGAGGAAGAGAAGAGAAGACAGCGGGAAAGGAACGGAGATCGGTCGAGAACAGGGAAACCGATTCGTCGATGACCACGATTTCTTCTCGGCGCGTCGTGCTCGTTCACACTGGATTTCCTTGAAAAAGGTTGCGCTGTTAGGTACGTTCCGTTCGGTCCTGCCGTTCGCGAACACTCTTATCGTATCTTTGTACTCGTATCGATCCGAGCACGCTCGTGGTTTGTCCGATCACATACGCTATGGTTTGTCGTTCGCGTACGATAGCCCTGTTCCATGAAACGTTCGAACGACAACGCGTTCGGCCGAGTATGCGACGCAACGGGAGAGTTTCGTCGGACAGAGTCCGAGCGTCGCGGTCGGTTTACCATTGCCGGAAGTCTACGCCGAAGAAAGTGGCGAACGTGCGAAAGACTTTTGCGATCGTTACGACTCTTTCCGGCGAACCTGCTCCGCCCGGTCGAACAATTGTCTCCGAGTGGTCGCAAGGGAGGAAAGGAAAATCCAGGAACACGATGTATAAAGTGAAACATTGCTTTTCACGCGCGATATATAATATTGTAATTATAGTGATCGTCGTTAATAAATTGTTTTTTATTTTAATCGGCACTGGTTTCGTTCTGGTTCCGATGGATCGACGACAAATCAAACATCGCTGCTGAGGTATATGCATGCGCGTGTCATCCCACTTCGAAACGAAATCGTGCGCGATTGATAACGAGGGGAATCGATAAGTACGGAATTAACGGGGTCGCAGGGGTCACGCCTCGATAAGGCAGAGCGGGACGAGCTTCGGGAACGGTCCACGGATGGCGTTAGGGGGTTGAAACGCGCGACGATCGCAACGGTCGCCGCGTGTCCTTTGCCGACCGTTGTTCAACCCCGGCTGAACTTCAGCCCCGCGGGGCTGCGACCTCTTTGGTCCTTTCGTTCCTCTCCGTACTCCTCTTCACGTTCGACGTTCGATCAGATCCATCGGAGGATTTCCTCGGCTCTGCAAAAGAAAAGACGCGGATGGGGTGAAGACGTTCGAGCATTGACGCATCGCCGTTTGAGTCTCTGCGACTTGAAACACGGTTGCGAGACGGGGCGGGCGTGTTCGCCTTTAGAGACTGCACAGCCCTGGAAGTCGACGCGAGGAGAGAAATGTCGGTATCGGAATACACCGGGTGTACCCATCGGGGAATGGAATCGATACGCGACAAAGCCGAGGGAGAGGCGGTTGTTTTCGAATAGCGACGGAAACAAATCGAACGATTATGCGAGAGCCGTGACGCGTCGTTCCCCGCGACGCTTTGCTCTCGGAAGGCGCGATTGGATTGATTCCGGTGATAAATCGTTTGGCCCCTAGATCCGGCTCGCGATGACACTAAATCCGAGCCAGCCAATCTTGTTACAGCGATCCTACGCGGTTCGCAGATAATTGCGCGCGCGTTTACGTATGCGAGCGCGGCTGAACGCGAGTAAACGGAAATAGCGTTAAATAGGCATAATTAGACGTAAACAGACGGTCGAGCGATCTTCCTCTGTCCGTGCGTGCGTACGAATCGGATTAACGGTGATCTTCGAACCTTCCCGTCCCCGTATCGCGCGGCGCGTGCGATCGGCAGCGCCGAAGACGAGGACGGTAAGTGTCTTCGGATCAGCAGATCGCAACGACGCGGATCGCGCGTAACGCGTCGTTTCGAAACGTTCGATTATCATTTCGAAACGTTTCAACCGAGCGATAGAGTCGCGTCGACAGACGACTCCTCTCCTCTCCTCGGATCGGGGAAGCGTGTTCCGGGGGAAGGAAGCGTACCATCGGGGAATCAAGGTTCCAGCGGGGTAGACAGAGCGCGAGAGAGACACGCGGAAAATTCTCGAGAGCACGGTTTAACGGTCGAACGGTCGAATGGTTGAACGTCTGAAGGCGCGCGCGTGAGCGCACTTCCATGTGTCGAGAGTGGTTATCACGAGGCTGCGATTGGTACTGCCCTCTGACCCCTTGAGTGGCATGGCTCCGCCTCTCGGTTACGCGATGCGACGCGATGCGACTCGACACGAACGGCGTACCATGTAGGTGCTCGCATATGTAAGTACACGCGTTGAAAATTCTTTTCTCCTTTCGGATTTCACGCGACGAACGACCGACTCGATCCGTTCCACCCGGAATTTTCGTTCGATCCTCCTCGAGGAGCAGCGTCGCGCGACGTCCGCGGGACTCCGGCTCGCGTATCGTTCGCGGGGGAACTTTTGCATTCGTCGCCGGAAGTCGGGGCGGAAGAACAAAGTGGTTGCGATGCACGCGTGGGTCGCAAATACCAATTGAACAACAACGAACGCGCATTATTAGTCCATCAAGAAACGGAAGGCTCGGAGAGCCCGGTTTACCGGGGCGCGTTCCCTTTGATCGTCGGGAACGAGTGGCCGCGCGAGCGAAAACGGCGCGGCGGACTCGTCTTTCCAGATTAATAGCGGAGCAGCTCCGTTTCGCCGTCGTTGTTCGCCCGTCGGGTACGAAAATATTGATCGTTATCGAACCGCGGCGCGCGTCTCCCTCGCCTTCCGTGTCCCGCGAGCGATCTCGGACGTAAACCGGAGAACGGGTCGTGCAACGTATTATCGCGTGGCATCCGATCGATGCGA